CTTAGAAGATAGAGACTGGATGTTTTGTTCATTGTTTTTTAGGTGACTGAGGGCTTATTCTGCATCTATACACAAAGATACCTTTCTTTAAGGAGATCACAATCTATTAAGGGATACAGACAAACAACATCATTTGGTAAATGCTAAAATATAGCTTTGTACATGTACCACCACAGTGCTATGCAGCAAACAGAATAAAGTTACTAACTCAATCTGAACATGTCAGAGAAAGCTGCACAAAGAAAATAAGGAGTCAAAAGGATAACCTGGGGGAACATAAAAGAAACACAGTCCACACAAAGTGAGTAGCATATGCAAGATATAGGTTAAATGCATGATGCACATAGAAAACCAATTTACTCAATATGGCCAAAAGAAGCAGGTGAGGCTAATATGCTTTGCTAAGATATATGGCAGTGGTTCTCAACCTTGGCTGCACATTAGAATCACCTTAGGATTTAAAAAAAATTCCCAGGTGATTCTAATGTGCAGCCAAGGTTGAAAACCACTGATATATGGGCTTTACCACCTTGTCTATAGGGAACAAAAGAAAGTCTTTTAGACAAAATAACATTTATATTTGCTTTTAAAGAAAATATTATTTTAGCAATGGTATGATAGAATAGAGTGGAGAATATCGAAAAGGAAAAATAGAAGAGTATTGCGATAATCCTGGTGAAAGAAGGGTGTCTGAGTTAAGGCAATCGTGGAGGCAATGGGACAGAGCAAGATTCAAGATGTACTTAGAGCCCTGGCCAGTGTGGCTGTTGGTTGAGTGTCATCCCATGTACCAAGAGGTCACTGGTTCAATTCCCAGTCAGGGTAAATGGGGATCGAGACTGGGTTGTGGGTAAGGGGCATGCAGGAGGCAGTCAACAGATGTTTATCTCTCATTGATGCTTCTCTCTCTCCCTCTCTCCCTCTCTCTCTAAAATCAATAAAAACTTTTTTAAAAAAGATGTACTTAGATGGCAGAGTAAAAAAACAAAACTTGAGCCCCAGCCGGTTTGGCTGAGTGGATAAAGCATTGGCCTGCAGACTGAAGGGTCCAAGGTTCAGATTCCAGTCAAGGGCACATGCCTGGGTTTCAGGCTCGATCCCCAGTAGGAGGCATGCAGGAGTCAGCCAGTCAATGATTCTCTCTCATCATTGATGTTTCTATCTCTCTCTCTCCCTCTCCCTTCCTCTCTGAAGGCAATGTTGAGTTTAAAGGCTTGTGGAACAACCAAAGTGGAGGTGTCATATAGAGAGTTGTTTAAAGTTCAGGAACAGCCCTGGCTGGTTTGGCTCAGTGGATAGAGCATCGGCCTGCGGACTGAAGGGTCCCAGGTTCGATTCCGGCCAAGGGCATGTGCCTGAGTTGTGGGCTCGATCCCCAGTGGGGGGGCCTGCAGGAGGCAGCAGATCAATGATTGTCTCTCGTCATTGATGTTTCTATCTTTCTCTCTCTCTTCCTCTCTAAAATCAATAAAATATATTTAAAAATAAATAAATAAATAAAGTTCAGGAACAAAGTTAGGCTAGACACTAAGATTTAAGAAGCAATATCATTGAGCTAAAGTAATCACTGAAGCCAAGGAATGTATGAAATTTCCCAGGGGTTAACATGTAAGGTGAGAAAAGAACATTTACAGAAGCATGCAGGAAAAGAAGAACCAAGTAAGAATATCATCACAGAAGTCAAAGAAAGATAATACTCCAAAGAGGAAAAGACCAAAAGTATCAAGTAAGATGAGCATTAAAAGTATCTACAGAATTTATAACTAAGTCACTGGCATCCATGGCCAGAGCAGTTTCAGTAAAGTGATTAAGACCAGAGTAAGACCCAAGTGAGTAGGAGAGAAAACTATGGAGAGTTTGTGAAGATGTACTCTTTTAAGAAATCTGGCTGTTTGTCATTCCTACATACCCATGAAGGGCTGTTTTGCTTTTTCTTTTTAAAAGAATAAATAAGTGCCCGGCTCGTGTGGCTCAGTGGTTGAGTGTCGACCTATAAACCAGGAGGTCACAGTTCGATTCCCGGTCAGGGCACATGTCCACGTTGCAGGCTTGATCTCTAGTGGAGGATGTGCAGGAGGCAGCTGATCAATGATTCTCTCTCATCATTGATGTTTCTCTCTCTCTCTCTCCTTCTCCTTTCCTCTCTGAAATCAATAAAAATATTTTAAAAAAGAGCAAATAAGCATTTATATGGAGATGATGATAATAACAGCAGCTAATAGCTATTTATATGTGCTTACTTTGTGCCAGGCACTATTCTAAGAACTTAAAATTATCTCATTCACTGCACATAACCCTATGAGGTAAAGTATACTATTATCCTCATTTGACAAAAGGCATTTACACGTTAACAAACTTGCTCAAGGTTACCCAGTTATTAAGGAGCAGAGCCAGGGTTCAAGCCCAGGCAGCCTCGCTCCAGCATCCATATACTTTACCACTACATTACACCTCAGAGGTAGGAGACCGGAGCACCCAAATCAGAGAGCCTCATGCAAAACAGGAGCTCAAAGTTTTTTTGCCAATTAGGTTAAGTGAATTTATTCAAACCTCACATGATTTGGTATTATCTCCCTCCTCCTTCCAAGGGAGAAAAGGGGGAAAATTCCTCCAAGTCTAAATTAAGCTCTTAATACCTACTATGGGGGGTATTACTGAATTTACAAAAGACCAGGGAACTTAATAGGATCGAGGGCAAGAGATCTGAATTTTAGTCCAATTCTGCCTTTTTAAAAAAATATATTTGTTTTATTGATTTCAGAGAGGAAGGAAGAGGGAGAGAGAAATAGAAACATCAATGATGAGAGAGAATCATTGATTGGCTGCCTCCTGCACGCCCCCCACTGGGGATCGAGCCCGCAACCCAGGCATGTGCCCTTGGCCAGAATCGAACTTGGGATCCTTCAGTCCACAGGCCGACACTCTATCCGCTGAGCCAAACTGGCTAGGGCGAATTCTGCCTTTTAATAGTCATTTAACTTTGGACAAGTCAACTAATAAAGATATCCTTCAGTTTTCCCATCTATAAAGTAGGTATGATCATTTCTGATCCATATAACTTACAATGTTATTATGAGAATCTAATACAAATATATGAAAGTGCTTAAAAAAAATTTAAGCCCTAGCCGGTTTGGCTCAGTGGATAGAGCGCCGGCCTGTGGACTAAAGGGTCCCAAGTTTGATTCTGGTCAAGGGCACATGCCTGGGTTGTGGGCTCTGTCCCCAGTAGGGGGCCTGCAGAAGGCAGCTGATTAATGATTCTCTCATCATTGATGTTTCTATCTCTCTCTCCCTCTCCCTTCCTCTCTGAAATCAATAAAAATGTATTTAAAAAAATTTTAAGTGCCACATAATCTGAGATTTTCTGATGTGGTAACATAAGCACCAAAAGAACCAGTTGGGGGCAGCACGATGCAGCACTTCAGATCCTTGAATGAGGCGGATCAGGTTTGGCAAGGCAGGGAGAATGGCTAAAAATACACCTAACTTCTCAAAAGGAAAACCTGCCGATCTGCTTCATCCTGCTTGATAATCCATCTTTGGAAATCTCAAAATGAGGCATACTGATGGCATTAGCACAATGCCTTCCTTCATTTATTCACTGCAGTTGAATCTGTCTGTCGTTCACATATGAAGTGCTCATTTGCTAAAAAGAAACTGAACCTGCAAACTCCAAGCTGCATGGGAGCAATAAAGCTGATACCTAATCATGCAGACAAATTCCTTTAGCTCTGAGAGTCAGAAAGATCTGAAGGGGTGGTGGTTCACTTGTTTGGCAGGGTGACACTGTAACATGGAAGGCCTGACTTCAGGAGTCACTCAGGTTTCCCGTCTGAGGCCATGCAGAAAAGCTGACGTAAAGGCTGTCTGTATTTGCACTATCTGTAGGCCAGACTAAGCCAGAACTTTGGATTCTGGTTCAGAGAAACACATTTACTCTCTTCAGCCATGTCTCTGAAGGCCTGAGAAATTCACAGACCAAGCCAGAGGATGGAGAGCAGAGAAGAAAGGTGAGACAAGGTGAGGAATCACACTGGCTAGGCTCTGAATTTTCCAAGCAAAATGGAAAAAGTACAAACCAGAGACGGAAACCAAACGAAGTTTATTGTTACAACCAATCTCTCTTGCTGGCCTTTGGTGAATACTCTGGTGGGGCTGATAAGTCTCTGGGCCTCAGAAACCACAACTTCTCAATGTCTCAAGACCTTTTGCATCTATGAGGAAAGGAAGTTTGAGATCTGCCAACAAGGAAGATTTCTAAGTTGCTACACACGGTGTGCCCATTAGTTGGAACGTTTACTTCCCCATAGCAACTCCCAGTGCAGACTCAGCTGGTATGTCCTCTGAGCAAATCAGGGAAGCAGAGACAAGAGCAACTGCACTAGCACATTCAGCTTTCCCGGATGAGAATAACAGCTGCTTCGCTGTCTTTTTCTTCCAGACCACTCCCTTGGGCAGCCCTACAAAACAACCTAGGGCATTGGCAATATATTTGCATAACTTACCAGAAAGAGAAGTTTTTACACTTTCCATTTCTTATTGTTCTTTTAAACTTTCAAGTTCAGAAAACTATAATATCAGCCACGTTTTAAGTACTTCAGTACCCCTCAGTGATTGTCCCTCAACTTCACCTACACCAAAACCTGCCTCTTCTCTACATGATCTAATAAAATATTAGAACAAAGTTCCTGCCATTTCATTTGTGTTTGATACTTGATTTCATTAAAAAGACTCCTTTTCCTAGAAAGCGCTCAATAGATAAATGTATGTTTACTAAACAACATTACATATGCAAGAAATCATATGCCAACACCCTAAAAAAATTGCCAAAAGGACAGATAAGTGGATACTCAGTTCTCCACATAAGAATTACCAATTCAGGTTATTTCTAACAAACATTTATTGAGCACCCTTCCCCTTCCCACCACATCCATCTACATATATAAAAGCCAAACAAGGCTAGAGATGGCTGTGGTTTAGGAGAACTCGATTCAGGAACGGGCGGTGGCTCCACCTGGGGATTCCTGAGGCTGTGTTTGTGGAAGATGTGGATTCCTACATGAAACAGCCTGGGAATGAGACTGTGGATACAGTGCTAAAGAAGTTGGATGAACAGTACCAGAAGTATAAGTTTATGGAACTCAACCTTGCTCAAAAGAAAAGGAGGCTAAAGGGTCAGATTCCTGAAATTCAGCAGACTTTAGAAATTCGGAAATACATGCAGAAGAAGGAGTCCACCAATTCAGTGGAGACCGGATTCTTACTGGCAGATAACCTGTATGGCAAAGCTTCAGTTCCTCCTACCAATAAAGTGTGTCTGTGGTTGGGAGCTAATGTAATGCTTGAATATGATATTGATGAAGCTCAGGCATCATTGAAAAAGAATTTACCCACTACCACAAAGAATCTGGATTCTCTTAAGGAAGACCTTGACTTTCATCAAGATCCATTGACTGCCACTGAAGTCAATAGGGTCAGGGTTTATCATTGGGACGTAAAAAGAAGGAACAAAGATGATTCTACCAAGGACAAAGCATAATTCTGGCAATGAAAAATGTGGCTCATTTTTCCAAACATGTTTTTTTAAATATTCCAAAGTTTATTCTTAAAGGTTGACATTAGTTTGAATGTGTTTTTTTTTTTAAACAGTAAGAATGAATGACGATTGAAACTTTAAAAAGAGATAAACACCAACACCATTTTATGTATTTATGAAAACAAAATTAGTTCCAAATATTTTATGGAATTAGCAGTTTTATTTCTTTATTTTGCATTTCCAACATAGTAAATAGAACTTTCATCATTTTTGTTTGTTTGTTTATTGTAAGAAAAGTCTTCATTGAAATGGCTTGAAAATGGATGTATGCTGTGGAGGCTGAATTCTGGACACTTAGGCAGTTTACTTTTTCTTTATTATATGACTAGTGGCCCGGTGCACGAAATTCATGCACATTAAAGGGGGATTAATTAGAGAAAATATTTTAATATTACTATTTGCCCTTTCTCTATAATAGAAGTGTCAGAGATGAAAGAAAATTAGTAAAATGTATATGAAAATCTTCCTCCTGTCAGAGTCTGGGGCACGCTGCAGGACCCAGAGTCAAGTCCCCACACACCCACAGTGCCTCAAAATTGCGAGAGACCCAGACCCAGCTGGCCCCACCCCCATTGGGCGAGATCCAGACCCGGCCGACCCAACCCTTGTCAAGCCCCACCGGGTAGGAGGTGCAGCCTCAGGGCCCTCGTCAAGCCCCGCAGGGTGAGGGGGTGCAGCGTCAGGTCCCCCATCAGCCCCACCGGGTGGCAGGCGCAGCCTCAGGTCCCCAAGCGCATCCTCAGGGCCCCCAGCCTGGCACCAGGGCAGGGGGCACGCCTTGAGGTCCTCATCAAGTCCTGCTGGGCGGCGGGTGCGGCCTGGGGTCCCCTGGCCCGGCACTGGGGCGGGGGGCATGGCCTGAGGTCCCCTGGCCCAGCACTGAGGCGGGGGGAGCAGCTTGAGGCCCCCCATCACTCCCCGCCGGGCAGGGGGTGCGGCCTCAGGTCCCCTGGCCTGGTGCCGGGGCGGGGGGCGCAGCCTGAGGTCCCATCAAACCCCAAGCAGGGGGAGGGTTTGGGGGGGCACAGCCTCAGGTCCCTGCTGATTGCTCGTTAAGGCTCGTTACAGAAACGAGCAGCCATCTTGTGTTATGGAAACACGCCCTCCCCCGTCTCCACGGTGGGCGCAGCCATCTTTCGTGGTGGAGTGATGGTCAATTTGCATATTCCCTCTTTATTATATAGGATGTTACTCTCACTTAAATATTTGCAAACTTGCTTTTTTTCAGCACATGTGGGGCTTTATGGTCCTCTGTTGCTGTTATTTATTCTACTATTCTGTACTTTACAGGAAATGGTCATTTGCCTTCCTAAGTTTTTAAAGGGCTGTGAAGACAACACTTTTTCCTGTCCTCTGTCAGTGCACAGTGTCTTTGCAATGTCAACATAAGGGAGATTTCAGCCAACAAGAAATAACAAAATTACCCATTCAAAACTCTTGGGTAAGGTGATTTTGTATTTCTTCATAGTTCTCCAAAGCAGCTGAACAAAAATATTAAGATTAAAAACAACGATTGAAAAGACTTGAAAAGTTTCCTCAAAAAACTAAAAATGGATCTCCCATTTGACCCAGTGATCCCACTTCTAGGAATATATCCCAAGAAATTAGAAACACCAATCAGAAAGGATATATGCACCCCTATGTTCATAGCAGCACAATTCACCATACCTAAGATTTGGAAACAGCCTAAGTGCCCATCAGCAGATGAGTGGATTAAAAAACTGTGGTACATCTACACAATGGAATACTACGCTGCGGTAAAAAAGTTCTTACCATTTGCAACAGGATGGATGGAACGGGAGGGCATTATGCTAAGTGAAATAAGCCAGTCAGAGAAAGATAAATATCACATGATCTTACTCATTTATAGAATATAATGAACAACATAAACTGATGAACAAAAGCAGATCCAGAGACAGAGAATCATCAATCAGAACATCAAACCTCAGAGGGAAGGTAGGGGAAGGTGGGGGTAAGGGAAAGAGATCAACCAAAGGACTTGTATGCATGCATATAAGCCTAACCAAGGACACAGACAACAGGGGGGTGAGGGCATGAGTGGGGGGCTAATGGGGGAATAAGGATACATAGGTAATACCTAATCAATAAAGAAATTAAAAGTCCAAAAAGAAAAGCAAAACAAACAAACAAAAAAAGCCAAGCAACCAGAACAACTGATCGCTATGACACCCACTGTGGCTGGCCAACCTCCTGCGGCTGGCCTGGCCCCAATTGGCCTCCCCCACTCCGATTGGGAGCAGGACCCCATCTGTGCACGAATTCGTGCACCGCGCCTCTAGTATGAGAATAAGAACCAGTTCATTTACATCAACATTATATCCCCCAGTGACTGAAGAATGCTTAGCATATAGTAAACATATAAAAATAACACTCAGATTATACTTTAAAGAAGTTCAGTGAAAGACACACAGGCAAGAAAATAATACCAATAGGCCTTTAACAGAAATAAATACTAAGGGTATGAAAGTAGAAACTGACTCTGCCTGAGGAGTGTGGAAAATTTCAGAGAGGAAGTAACATCTCAGTTGGATCCGAAAAGATAGTTAGGAGTTGTCTAGGCTGAAAGTATGGTTCTTTCCATATATCCCCTATTGGCTCTGATGATACCAACTCAGGCACAGATACACATAAACGTGTCCACACAGAGCATATTCTGGAGCAGCACTAGGCAATACCTACCACTCACTCCACCCATTGCTCCTGTTCCCAATTCTTGCTGATTCTAGTGAGCTACAGTAGCCTTACCTGATCATAACAGTAAGAAGAAGAATACAAAATGCTTGCTTTTATTTTAGTTTACTTTGAATTATCAATGTATTGATCTGCAACCAAACAAGCTTATCTCTGTACAGTGGTTCAAACCTATATTCTGAGAGGCTCTGAAGAAAATCTCAACTGTAATATTCCTTTTTGAAAAATCTACCTGACTGGACTAAAGCTGGAGCATTTACCCAAGGCAGATAAATGTGCTGCTATCCAACTAGCAGAGATCATTTGCTGCCACCTAATTAGCAGGATTGTCCTGAGGAAGAGCCATCCACCAAACATTAAAAACCTACTATATGGAAACAAAGATAAGTGGGGCCAGTTTCTGCCCATAGTTCACAGTCTAGTAGAAGAGGACAATCAACTAAAAAGTTTTTTCACACAGGACAATAATATGATCAGATATGCTACCTAGAAATATCATTTTAAAAGTAATATAGCCCTAACCGGTTTGGCTCACTGCATAGAGCATCGGCCTGTGGACTGAAGGGTCCCGGTTCGATTCCGGTCAAGGGCATGTACCTTGGTTGCTGGCACATCCCCAGTAGAAGGTGTGCAGGAGGCAGCTAATCGATGTTTCTCTCTCATCGATGTTTCTAACTCTCTATCCTTCTCCCTTCCTCTTTGTAAAAAAATCAATAAAATATATATTTTTTAAAAAGTAATATAAAAACTTACGGAACCCTAGCCAGTTTGGCTCAGTGAACAGAGCGTCAGCCTGCGGACGAAAGGGTCCCAGGTTCAATTCCAGTCAAAAGCACATACCTCGGTTGCAGGTTCCTCCCTGGCCCCGGCCCTAGTCAGGGTTCAGGTAGGAGGCAACCAATCGATGTGTCTCTCTCACATCAATATTTCTCTCTCTCTCTCTCTCTCTCTCTCTCTCTCTCTCTCTCTCTCTTTTAAATATATTTTTATTTACTTCAGAGAGGAAGGGAGAGGGAGAGAGAGAGAAACATCAATAACGAGAGAGAATCATGGATCGGCTGCCTCCTGCACACCCCCACTGGGGATCGAGCCCACAACCCAGACATGTGCCCTTCACCGGAATTGAAGCCGGGACCTTTCAGTCTGCAGACTGATGCTCGATCCACTGAGCCAAACCAGCTAGGGCTCTTCCACTCTCTCTAAAAGTCAATGGAAAAATATCCTCGGGTGAGGATTAAAGACCAAAAACAAAACAAAAAAACTGTATGGAAAGGTCAGGAATTAGGGCCTGGAGAATAGTTATGAGGTTTCTAGAATCATCCAGGTGGGAGGCAATAAAGGCCTGAATAAGACAATGGCAGAAAGAATGAAAAGAAGGTTAATATCTGAAGACATCTTTGAGGTAGAATCAACAGGATGCGATGTTTAATCAAAGGCAGGTAATTAAAAGATATAATGTGTACAGAGTATGTCTAACACAATGCTTACCTCATACTACACAACGCATTCCCCCCACAATCAATATCTCATCATCATTATTCCTCCCCTGGGTTTAGCTTTCTAACTAGTCTTCTGGTTTCCTTTGTATATCTTGAACATGCTTAGTCCTTATTCCCATCCATTTTACATAATACTGCCAAAACCTTCTGAAATGTCAACCTGAATTCACTCTCCTCTTAAAATTATTCAATGATGCCCTATTACTCTTAGAATAAAACCCACAATCAGCATGGCAAACAAAGCCTTTCACTCCTGCTTATTAAGATTTCAGTCCCTACCTACCAGCACATTTGTACACATTCCTGATCCCTCTACCTGGATTACCCTCCCCCCACTGAGGCCTGGCTAATCACTCACTGTTGAGGATTCATTTCCATTTCGTGAAATCAAATATAAAGTACAGAGATTAGTAGTTATTCTTTTTTTCCCTGCATAAAGTATAAGTATAGGAGAAGGGCTGAAGGGAGGGCACTGCAACAGACCACATGAGAGATGACCAAATGCCTGATTTAGAGTGCTATTTTAGGCATGAAAAAGTGGGCTAGAGTTAGAATATGCAGAAAGAATTTAGCAAGTGAGTGGTAGATATGAAACTGAGGAAAAAAAGAGTTAAAGGCAATTCAGCGATTCCAAATTGAGGTGTTCAGAGAAGCAGTGGGAAGAGATCCTGTAATCTTATGTGCTATCAGTAAGTCAGAAACCAGTATCAATGTCAAACAGCCAATCAGTGGCTTGTTGAACCTCTGTTCTTTGGATGGGCCCTCGACAGAGGAAGGACTGGGCCTCGACCTACTTTTCACTGAAG